GGCAGTATATGGCAAGTAGGCAAGCTTCTGTGATACCATGTCACCCCAGTTGTTGGATTACAAACAGTCCTGGGCAGATGGGACACAGCAGGTTGTATGTAATGCAATTATATGGGGGCATGGTTTCAGTGAAAGAGGGAGGAGCAAGGATCCTTCAAGTTGCCGCCTGCACTACCCATAGAGGAAGGGTCAGGACACAGAAAGCGTGAGTTGTAAATGAGCAGTGAGCAGCCAAAGATAGGGACGCATTCAGTAGCAGGTATTTATATTAACCACAGATAGGATTCAAAAGCAATGACTGATGTTGAGACTACCGTCTTTGTATTTTATAAAGGACAAAAAAAAAGCATATTAAGAGTTTGTGATGTTCTGTGACTTTGTGCATGTCTGTTTCCATTTACTCTAAATTTGGTGCCAAATTTCAAGTTGATTTAGGTATGTAAAATCTGTAGACCACTAGTCAAAAACCTTGAAGTTTGATTAAAGTGAACCGAGAGGAGCTGACACCATAACAGAGAGCTGCTCACAGGACGCAGAAGAGCAACAATGTGTATTTTGATGCCCTTCCTCTCTTGGATCTCCTCCAGGCGAGGCCACATTTCTAAACCGCATTGAAAGGTTTGGCGCTGAGCATTTCCCGTCCTTGCCACACTGTTTGTTTGCATGAAGCCAGAGAGGGTGTTGGAGATAACGCAGGCTGGCACCTGCCCAGGTGGGGCCACTGACAGTCCACCATGCACCTTTGTCTTCAAGTCTCTCCTTGGCTGGGCAAAACAAAGATGCAGATTTGAAATGCTCTGGAGGGCAGAACCTGTTCGCATGATAAGAAGCCAGAGCATGAGCTCGGGGCAACTCTCAGCTGGTTCTTCTTTTATTTTCTTTGCACAGTGTTGCACAATGAGGGTGACCTTATACTCTAGTGATGTTAGATCCTAGTTTTCCTGGGACTGTCTTCGTAACTGGTAGACTTGCATAATCATTCCTATTGCCCCCTTTTACTTAAAAAGTGTCACAGTTGGGCAATAAATTACATGATGACTCTACTTACACTGAGAACTATGGTCTCTAAATGCTTAGTAGCCATAGTATGCTGAAATTTATTGTAGAATCAATAACTCATCTGAAGGCTTGGGTAAAATGATATTTTAAAATTCTAATGTTCTTAACAGTGGAGTTGTATGTCCAAGGTGTACACAAAGTCAGAATCATGTTTGAAGAAGATGGCTATCAGTCGGGATGGATGCTCACTTAATATGGAGTGCATGTTAGAGAAGAAAAATCCCTCTTGTGCTTCTCTACCAGGAATAAGGAACAGAAATGTGAATACTTAATTTAGACTCACAAGCATCCTTATGTAAGCCTATAGTTCCCCTACAATATGGGTTTCACTTTTTTTTTTAACCTGTTTCATAGGAGTCTGGCCTTGATCGTGCAGAGGCTTACACACCCTAAAGCAGGAGCAGACCCTATGCCACAGGACATCTTATTGACTCCTAGAATCATGTCTTCAAGTGACCCCCAATTAACAAATACAGATTCTACTGCTGTGTTAGTTTTCGAAAACAAAAAAAGTTTAAAAAGTTTTATTAAAAAAAAAAGCCAGAAGATCATCAAGTATTTTAAGCTATGGCTCAAAAAGTTTCTACAAATATTGGATTTCATTGGTTGTAAGATATCAATCGTAAGACGAAAGATCACTTTGTATGCAGCTAAGAAACTAGTGTGTACCTTTCTGATTTCAGAGTCATTAGAACGGGGAAACTATGTATCTTAGAATCAATGAAACATGGTATATTAGAAATGACAGATTTGGACTGGGGATATAATTGGTAGTGTGCTTGCCTCACATTTACAAGGTCCTGGGTTCAATCCCCAGCACCACACACACACACACACACACACACACACACACA